AACCCTCTTAACTGAACCTCTTTTCTCTGCTTTCATCGCTTGACCAGATTAGTCTACTGTGTACTTAATTTTATTTTCTATCAACTATAGATTAAGTTCCATACACCTTTAATTTTATGGAGTACCATCCGCGCTACTGAATTTGTTAATGTAATATATTTCTAAACAGAAAATTGTCTACAGTATTTAAGACAAAAACAGAACTACATTGTCAGTGAGAATATGGTTGAATTCTATTTAGATGAAGAAAATCGTTTAAGCTCTTCAATTCGTAAAGAATTATTCCTTCAGTTTTTACCTGTGCACTTTAATTCAACTACGTTTATGTATATTAGTGAAAAGAGAAGGAATCTAAACATGTAACTAGATTTAATATCTCTTCTCGTTATTAATTTCGAACCCCATGTACTCGTATCGGTATCTATAGGATTTGATTTATCTACTTCTAAAGGCGATTAATAAAGACTGCAAAAAAAAAAAAAATTAACTAATAATATTGTCCTCAAATGTCTCTAAAATTTATTATTTTATCTTAGATCCGTTCTTTGTAGATTGGAACGACGTTCCATTTTAGAACTTCCTAAGCATTAGAAGTTCGTTTTAATCTAGAGCTAACAGATATTATAGCAATAAAACGAAAAATTGAATATATTTCTTTTAAGGTAGAACCATTACCGAAAAAATGTCAAAATCTGATATTTTTGAGTAAATCCCGATACAATTCAGATACATTTTTTTTAATTGAACCGGAACGAATAAATGATCAGTTTGAAGCCCTGATTCTATGCCTTATATGTGACATTTTAGTGGACTTCATTATAAGCTCTCACTTCTACATTCAGTTTTAGAATTCTCTATCTTAAATTTCTATAAATTAATATTTTTTCTTATATATAAAAATATATAAATCTTTTTATTATTTATATACATACATATATTTATATATATTTCTATATATTATGTATATAAATAGTAATTAGGGTTTTTTATATATTATTTACATATTTACATATAATTATTATTTTAGATTCATTTTAGACTGCAATGGATATTTTGATATCCATAATAATTTGATGTTTTAATTTTAAATTCTTTGTTTTTTTTTAATTTTATATATATTTTTAATGACAATCTATTAAAATAAAATTAATGCAATTAATAAAATCAAAATATTCCAAAAACTAATGTGTTCATTTTTTATTTTTATATAATAATTTAATTAAAATTAATAACTTAAACAAATGTAATGTGTTCAAAATTTTGTTATTAATATTTTTTGATGAAAAGTTTAAAAATAAATAATATTAATAAATTTAATATTTTTCTGCAAAAATTATAATTCAAATTTATTATAATATTTATAATTTACATTTTTAATGTTTTGTAAAATGTAAAAGTAGTAAAACTTACTTTAAAAAAATAAATAATTAAATTATTGTAGTAATAGTAAAAATAAATTATATGCATTAAAACCAAATTAATTTTATAATTAAGAACTTAAACGAAACTTAAGTATATAAAAATAAATAACTACGAGTTTTTCGAATGCACAAAAAACAAATATTCACACTTAAACTTAAAAGTGAAATTTAATAAAAAATAAAACAAATAATTTTGTGGGTTTTTGTAGGTTTAGTAAAAAATCTCAATATTTGAAATAATTTAAATACGAATACGAAACAAATGCTAAAGGTTCAAACTGCCCCCCACCATCCATTTTGAGAGAAGAAAATAATTTACAAATACAAAATGTTAAATATCAATTTTCAATACAAAAATAAATTTCTGCATTTACAGTTACTTATTCAAATTAAAAATCGAAATTGTGTGAAATTTACGCGTTAAAATAAAAAAGTTGTAACGAAGAAAATTAAAATAAAGATATTAAAAAAAATTAACATTATTTATTTTATAATTGTATTAATTTTGATTTGAGAGGTAAGTTGAGTGGCTTTTAACAAAACATTACAAGAATTAAAACGATTATAAGGTTATGGTCAAAAAGTTGCATAAAAGAAATTATATGTTTTTTAAGGTTATGATGAATGCTTTTGCAGGAATGGATATGAAGTTTAAACTTTGCTATTTTAAGCATAATGAAAAGGAAAGTTAGAAACACATTTCTCATATTCAGATGCGGTAAAAGTTATAGAAATGATTTTTTATTCGTCGTAATAACAATTTGCTCAGAGGTTAAGAAAAATATTATACAAATAGACTAGTCGTTTGAAATGTGAGCAAAAATTATCGTAATTTTATTTTTTACATTGGTTTATTTATTGAATCTTTTTAAATAGAAATTGACAATAATTTTGCAAATATTAAACTAACATATATGCTATTGAACCGGAATATTCATATTTATAAATGATTTTCTTTTAAGGCGATTTAATGCAGTTGTAGAAGATAAATGTTAAACATGCGATTTAAGTCTCTTTTGGAATTTAGGTGTATATTGCCGAATAACTTCTTCAACAGTTGGTTAATTATCATAATTGATTAATTTTCGAGTGCTCTATCCCTTATATCGGGATATTATAATTTTTTTTTTGAACTTAAAAAGTTTAACTTTATGCAATGATAACATATAAATATTAACATAAATGCAGTGCAAAAAATCTCTAGGAAATTTCAATTTACTTTACCTCAATTTATTTGAACTCGTACACGGCCGCAGTGTGAAATTCAATGCAAATGTAGATAATAAAATTTTTATAATAATTTTATGTAATTCTATAAAATAAATAATAATTAATTATTATTTTATATATATTATATAATTGTTTATTAACGCACCAAAAGTATGCATTGTGTAAAACCTGTATAAAGATCCGAACTATGTGGCAGCACTGCATACATTGCGCTTTTGACAGTTCATTTTGTTGTCAAATTGCTATTTGGTTTTCGACGCTTGTGGCTGAATATTTATTTTAAAATTATTTGTCTTTTATTTTGAAGATTTTTAATGAAAAATACTTGATATAAGTTTAAATTAAATAATTTCCTAAAGTTTTGTTAAGTAAAAATGGTTAAGCTAACGCCTGAACTGATAAATCAGTCAATGCAATACATTAATCCATGCCGGGAACGTGAACTCGATTTACGTGGTTATAAAATACCTCAAATAGAAAACCTTGGCGCGACACTAGATCAATTTGATACCATAGACTTATCTGATAATGATCTGCGTAAACTGGATGGAATGCCATATTTACCGCGCTTAAAGTGTTTACTTTTAAATAATAACCGCATATTACGCATCGGTGATGGTCTGCACGAGGCTGTGCCCAATCTAACTTCCATTATTTTGACCGGTAATAACTTACAAGAATTAGGAGATCTTGAACCATTAGCATATTTGCAGCATTTAGACACAATTTGTTTATTAATTAATCCTGTTTCGACTAAACAGTATTATCGTGAATACATGGCTTGGAAGTTTCCAAACTTGCGTTTGCTGGATTTTAGAAAGATTAAACAAAAGGATCGTCAAGCAGCGCATGATTTCTTCCGTACAAAGCAAGGCAAAGATATTGCAAAGGAAATTGCTAAAAAGACAAAACTAAATGCTGCTGCAGTTGCAGCAGAAAGCAATAGCGGTGGCACTAGAATGGCAAATCCTGAAGATTTACAACGTATACGCGAAGCTATAAAACGTGCCAGTTCATTGCTCGAAGTAGAGCGATTATCGCACGTATTACAAAGTGGTCAGCTACCAGAGAATTTCTTCACAGACTTACAGAATGGTGTTACACAAAACGGTAGCGAAGGAGGAGGGGGCATCGAAGTTATGGAACACTAACATTTAGACGCTTAACAATAAATAGTTCGTGTAAATTTTATATTTTTAATGCTCTAAAGTCAAACAGTAATAAAATGCAATTAAAGAAGCAATTTGTAAAACCCATTTAAATTGTTTTTTATTATAAAATTGTCTTGTTTTTCACAGAAAAAGAAAACATTTTCAAAAGTTCAGTTTTCTACAATTTTTAACTAATTTAAATTATTAAATGTATAAAATTACTAAATGCAACAATAAAATTTGTCGGGGGTACAAAATAGTCTCCAGCATAAAAGACTAAACACTTCACAACTTCTGGATATTTATTGCTAGTAGTAGTAGTTGAATAATTATAAATCAAACAAAAATGAGTATAGGAATGGGGTGCCAAGTTA